GCCACTGCACTCCAGTCTGGGCGACAGAACGGGACTCCGAAAAAAAAAAAATTTATTTATTTATTTAAAATTAGAGATGGGGCCGAGCACAGTGGCTCATGCCTGTAATCCCAGCACTTTAGGAGACCAAGGCCGGTGGATCACTTGAAGCCAGGAGTTTGAGACCAGACTGGCCAATATGGTGAAACCCCATTTCTACTAAAAATACAAAAATTAACCTGGCGTGGTGACGCATGCCTGTAATCCCAGCTATTTGAGAAGCTAAGACAGAATTGCTTGAACCCAGGAGGTGGAGGTTGCACTGAGCCGAGGTTATGCCACTGCAGTGCAGCCTGGGTTGACAGAAAAAAAAAAAAACTCAAAAAAAAAAAAAATTAGAGATGGGGTCTTGCTATGAAAAAAAAAAAATGGTCTTGACCTCCTGTCTGGGTCTCTCAAGTAGCTGGGAAAAAAAAAAAAAGCTGCCATGCCTGGCTCTAAAGCTTTTGTATAATAAATTTATTTTTATTTCAGTCCTCACAATGACCCTGGGAGGTGGGTACCATGATTAAAAAAAAAAAACACCGGCAGAAAGTAAGGCACAGACAAGTTCAGTGAGCTAAAAAAAAAAAAAAGTTTCAAGCAACAGAGGCCAGACCCTGAGCCGGGCTAAAAAAAAAAAAAGTTGCTGCAACAACAACTGCCCAGTGTTGCCTCTCAAAGAAAAAAAAAAAACCCTGAGGGGTCATTCCTGAAAAGGCCGACGTCATGGCCTGAGTACAGGCGGCCCCTCCTGGGATGCTGGCCCCCTCCCTGCCCTTGGTGAAAAAAAAAAAACTGTGTCCTCTGGAGCTTCCTCACAGCATCTGGCTGCACAAAAAAAAAAAAGCCAAGAGCCTGTGGCAACTGCAAGAGCTGGGGGCTGCACACAGCTTGAGAGGCAGAGGGTGCCCGGCCTGAGCCCCAGACCAGTAGGGCAAAAAAAAAAAACAGGGAGAGAGGCCATGTCCTCTTTAGACCTGCCACCTTGGGATTAGGAACAAAAAGTGGCTTTTTCAGGCTGGGTCCGTTTAGCTATGGAAAAAAAAAAAACTTCCTCCAGGCCCAGAACCCCCGGCTCCACTCCCACCCAAAAAAAAAAAAGGTACCTGCCCTGATCCCCACATACTAAGGTCCTGGTGGAAAAAAAAAAAAGGACAAACAGTTGTCAGGTTCCCCGGGGCTCTCCCCACCAAAAAAAAAAAATTGGCGTGGAGTTCTTGTTCCCCATGGTAGCTCCCCCCAAAAAAAAAAAAACCTGGGAGGGGGTGATGGGTCATGTGCCAAATGTGTCCCAAAAAAAAAAAATTTCAGGGCCGGATTCCCCATTCCCTGCTCTATGGGGGTAAAAAAAAAAAATGTCTTGCACTTTCCCCAGCAGTCTGCCACCCCTCTACCAAAAAAAAAAAAGTCCTTCTCATTCTGTGTCCCTTGACTCCACAACCGACGAAAAAAAAAAAATCCACAAGTCAGGGATTCCCGTTTCTGGTGCAGCCAGTAAAAAAAAAAAAACCTCGCCACTCTGGGCGTGTGCTGTTCTTGGTCCCTTATAAAAAAAAAAAAGGGCTAACCCTCCCCACACACCTGGCTGTCCCCTGCCCCACAGCTCCTAGGCCAGGGCCTGTCCCTGCCCCTAACACCCAGCCCCTCGGTAAAAAAAAAAAACTTCTTGGACCCTAAGCCCTTTCTGGGTAACCAGAAAGCAAAAAAAAAAAATCCAGGTGACCCCCAGGCTGTTCCTCTCCCCGAATCCAGAAAAAAAAAAAAACAGTAGAGGCAATTGCTGTCATTCCGCGGCCCATGACAGCCTGGCGGCCCGCACCCCTCCCCCGTGATGCCCTGCACAGACAGGCCCACAAAAAAAAAAAAATGCCTGAATCACTGCTGACGGCTGGGGACCTGGCCACCAAAAAAAAAAAAGGAGCCACTGGGGAGGGGGCGGCGGCCGCATCTCGCCTCCAAGGGAACACCTGCGGACATAAATAGGCAGCCAGCAGAGGCAGCAGCACAAAAAAAAAAAAAAGCACTGCATACGGGGTCCACCTGTGTGTACCAGGATGCAAAAAAAAAAAATGCCCGCCTGCTTCCTCGGCCTACTGGCCTTCTCCTCTGAAAAAAAAAAAAAGAACTGCCCGAGGGGCGGCAAGAGGGCCATGTCCGACCTGGAGCTGAGACAGGTACTTCCCACCGTGGGCCATCTCAGGGCTGCCACAGAAAAAAAAAAAAACACCCTGGGTCAGGGGCTAGGAAAGAGGGAAGTCATGGAAAAAAAAAAAATTTAGGGGAAGTGTAGGGGAGGAAGAGAGAGGCATGGCAAAAAAAAAAAAAGGAGCCAATGGGGTGGGCCAGAGGAAACCACACTTTGGAGGAGGCTGGGAGAGGCTGAAGGGGCTTCTGGTCACTGTCACCATCCAGACAAAAAAAAAAAAAAGTGAGGGATGCTTCCCCAGTGACTGGGCTTGGGGCTGGATCAGGGAGAACGGGGCATCATGGCCTCCCCTGTGCCCATGGCGTTCTTGCAAAAAAAAAAAATGGGGCAGCAGAGGCTCCGTCCCACCTGGCATTGGAGGCTTTCCTCATCCAGCCCCAGCCTCCCAGGCACAGGCGCCCAGGCCCCCACAGAGAAGATGGCCTCTGGTCTGAGCACACTTGAGTGGGGCATCCTGTGGGGAAAAAAAAAAAAAAACCTGGCCTAATTCTCTAGTGCTGGACGTTTCCTCCATTTCCAGTAGAGCTGAAGGAAATCCAATCACGATGTGCATGCAATTCTGTGCAAAAAAAAAAAAAAGCCATTGAGCAAATTAGACCACACCAAACTCAGCTAGAAAAAAAAAAAAATATCCATTGCGCCAGAGAACCGACTGTTGAGCAAATTAGAAAAAAAAAAAAGGCAACCCCCGCAGTCTCCCTTCCTCCTGCTAGGCTCCTTTGGGGTCCTGAGACACCTGGGTGTCCGTGCCCTCCTCTAGGGCTGAGGCCAAAAAAAAAAAAAGGCGGACTGAGCAGGGGGTCAGGGCCCCAGCTGAGGCCAAAAAAAAAAAAAGGAGGCAGGGGCAAGGCAAGACAGGAGACAGGAAATGGAAAAAAAAAAAAGGGTTCTGGATGGGCAGGGCCTCTCTGCATGGTGTAGTGAAAAAAAAAAAAGGCCGGGGCTCAAGCTGCAGCAGTGTGAGGAGGAAGGAGGAAGGGTTTGGAGTGGGGGAAGGTGGGGCAGCTGCAAGAGTGGCGCCCACCAGCGATGGCCCCGAGGCTCGAGGAAGGGCTCCCCACGCTGTAGTCCACCGGAAAAAAAAAAAAAGCTGAGGGGGAGGACGCTGAGGGCTATCACTGAGAAGTAAAAAAAAAAAACAAGGTGCTGAGCGGATTTGGACGCCCGGCCCGTGGCTGAAAAAAAAAAAAAGACGGCGCCCCGGTGCGCCTGCAAGCTGCAGCCCCGGTAAAAAAAAAAAACTCCGAGACCTGGACCCCCGCATCCCCGCCTCGCGGGGTAAAAAAAAAAAACCCCGACTCCCGGCTTCCCCTCCTCCCGCTTACCCCGCCAAAAAAAAAAAACAGTGCCTCCCCTGCGGCCCCGGGGGCAAAGGCCGCTGCAAAAAAAAAAAAATCTGCTGTGCGGACGAGCTGGGCTGCTTTGTGGGCACAAAAAAAAAAAAACGCTGCCAGGAGGAGAACTACCTGCCTTCGCCCTGCCAGAAAAAAAAAAAAGCGTGCGGGAGCGGGGGCCGCTGCGCCGCCTTCGGCATCTGCTGCAACGACGGTGCGCGGGGGCGGGGGGGGGCGGGCCTGGGGCTGGGGCGGGCGCAGACCTCTTGGTTGGGGGGACGCGGACCTGCGGCGGGGGGGGGGCAGGGTCAGGCACGGCAGGGAGGGTGTGGGCCCCCGCATCCCGAGCTGCGCCCACCCCAGGGCGCCCGCGCTCACACGTCCTTCCCGCAGAGAGCTGCATGACGGAGCCCGACTGCCGCGAGGGCTTTCACCGCCGCGCCCGCGCCAGCGACCGGAGCAACGCCACGCAGCTGGACGGGCCGGCCGGGGCCTTGCTGCTGCGGCTGGTGCAGCTGGCCGGGGCGCCCGAGCCCTTCGAGCCCGCCCAGCCCGGCGTCTACTGAGCCCCCCGCCCGCCCTACTGGCGCGCTGTCTGCGCCCGCCCCTGCAGCACGGACAATAAACCTCTGAAAACGCACGACCTCACGTCTGTCTCAGTCTCTGGAGGGAAGAGGGAAGGGGAGAGAGGTGGGAGCGGGGGATCCTGAGGTCGCGGACAGATCCACCCCAGAGGAGCAACAGGTCCCGTAGAGGAAGCGATCTGCGACCCGCAGAGGTGTCGCTAGACCGAGGGACAGGGCGAATTGGGAGGCAGGGGAGGGGGAGACGAGAGGCCGAGAGTGGCCTTGGAGGGGGTCGGTTGGGTATCCTCCAGCAGAGGGAAAGAAGTAAAGGCAGAGAGGGGAAAGGCCTGGAGGACAAGACAGCAAGAGACCCAGAGACAGAGATATCAGAATGATGGAGAGAGATGCAGAGACATTGACAGTGACGGAGAGAAGAGTGAGAGAGGCAGAGGGGACAGGCCAAGGGGTGACCATTCTGTCCCCATTTTCGTCCCAGGAGACAAACCACTCAGGGACCCACCCAGGTCCCGGGATTCCCAGTGCAATGTGTGTTTCACCCAAGGCAGTGCTCGTGTGTGGTGGCGGCGGGAACGTCACCCCAGACCCAGCGGAGACAGCGCCACCTGCTGTCCGTCCAGTGCGCCCACCATAAGGGCACCTCAGCCAGAGTGGGGGGCCCCTAACAGATACAGTTCCACACAACCTCAAGCTCACTTGGACAGACAAGAAAATAACTGCTAAGAACATGTCCGCGACCCTTGACCACAACCATAGAGACCCTGAGCCCCACATTCAGAGCCACAGACACACCCAAAGAAACACAGATACAGCTGACAGGAGGATGGGCAGGAGCACGTACACACAGGCTCACGCACGCAGGAGTGCACTCACATTAGCTCCCGGACATGAAGACTTTCTGCCCTTTGACATGAGCCCCTTTGGCAAAAAGACGTCCAGCAGCTCTCGGCATCTTCCTCTACATCTCTTGGGTTCTCTCACCCCCTTCTTGAACCGGAGGCCTTTCTGGTCCCATCTGCCCTTTCTCTCCTTTGTCTCTCAACCTGCTCTCACCTCCCCGTTCTGCCAGCTCCCGGGCCCCTTCTTGCCTCTCTCCTTGGCCCCTCCACACCCCTCTTCTGTTGCCTCACCCCGTCCGACACCTCCCATCCTTCTCTCTCTTGGCCTCCTCTGTTCTCTGCATCCTCTCCTTGGGCTTCCTTTCTCCAGGTCTTGGAGCCACAAGAGGCTGCATCTCCTTCGGGATCCTCTGCAAACTCTGAGGCCAGGAGGGAGTGCAGGAGGAGAGAAGTCCGCCTGGGCCCTGACCCTAACGCCCAGGCTTACGGCCAAGCCTGGTGACTCAAGCAGCCCAGCCTCAGCAGCCCTGGGCAGAGTCCAGGCACATGCCAAGGTCAGGCTCTCTTCCACACTCCCAGGGCTCCCCTTGGCTCTCACCCCGACCTGGTTCTGGGTTCCTCTGCCAGGCAGTGCCTGGCATGACTGGGTCTAGCCAGCAGGAGCAGGGACCGTGCAGGCTTGGGTCACTGCCATGACCTCCTGCTCCTGTTTCATGTGGTCCACTCAGAGCCAGCCCCCATCTGGTTGGGGCTAGAGTAGGACCAAACCTAATAGGAATTTATTAACTCTTCCAACTGGGAAGTAGGAAGAGGCAGGTGGCTTGGCTGCACTGAATCCAATCCAAAGTGCTAGTGTCTGGACTTGGGGACAGTTTTAGAATGAGGTCCAGGAACTTTCTCTTCCCAAATACATACAGATTCAGAGACTCCTTTCCCCTCCACTTGTCTTCAAAACAATCAGGCTACTACTTCTGGGAAGGGGTGAGGAAGGTCTGCCCACCTACAATTTGCCCGAATGTCCACATCCCTGAACAGACTTCCACTCTTTCTCCCTCTCCTTGAGTCCCCTGACCCAGCTACAGAGCCATTTAGCAGGGAGAGGTCTGCCCTTGTCTGCTCATTCTCCACAGGGCAAACGGGCTACGGCAAACCCACAGCAAGGGTCAAAGCAGTGTTCAAGCCTCCATATCTGCTATTTCATAAAAATGGTAACATTGGCAGTGTCTCTTTTTCTTTTTCTTTTAAAAAAATTATTATTACTATTATTATTATTATTATTATTATTCTTGAGACGAAGTCTCGCTCTGTTGCCCAGGCTCGAGTGCAGTGGCGCGATCTCAGTTCACTACAAGCTCCGCCTCCGAGGTTCACACCATCCTCCTGCCTCAGTCTCCCAAGTAGCTGGGACTATAGGTGTCCGCCACCGCGCCTGGCTAATTTTTTTGTATTTTTAGTAGAGAAGGGGTTTCAGCATTTTAGCCAGGATGGTCTCGATCTCCTGACCTCGTGATCTGCCTGCCTCGGCCTCCCAAAGTGCTGGGATTACAGGCGTGAGCCACCATGCCCGGACTATTTTTATTTTTATTTATTTATTTTTCAGCATCTACATTAAGGACACAGCAGTGTCTCTTGTTAAAGAACTTCTTGGCCAGGTGTGGTGGTTCACGCCTATAATTCCAGCACTTTGGGAGGCCGAGGTGGGTAGATCGTCTGAGGTCAGGAGTTTGAAACCCCATCTCTACTAAAAATACAAAAATTAGCCAGGCATGGTGGCGTGCACCTGTAGTCCCAGCTACTCAGGAGGCTGAGACAGGAGAATTGCTTGAACCCGGGAGGTGGAGGTTGCAGTGAGCTGAGATAGTGCCATATGTATGTGAGTCTATTTCTGGACTCTCTAATCTGTTCTTTTTTTTTTTTTTTTTTTGACAGAGTCTTACTCTGTTGCACAGTCTGGAGTGCAGTGGCGTGATCTCAACAGCCACGTTGTCCAGGCTGGTTTCGAACTCTTGATCTCAAGTGATCTGCCTGCCTCAGCCTCCCAAAGTGCTGGGATTACAGGTGTGAGCCACTGCACCCCGCCTAGATCTATCCTTTCTATAATATTGTACTGTTTTGAATATGATAACTTTATCAGGTTGTGTGGCTTTTCCAACTTTGTTCTTTTTCAAAATTGTTTTGACTGTTCTAGTTCCTTTGTCATGTTGTATAAATTTTAGAATCAACTTAATGATTTCTACGAAAAAATCCTATTGGGAGTTTAATTAGAATTGTGTTGGATCTTTCAATCAATTTGGGGAGAACTGACATCCTTACTCTGATGAGTCTTCCAAATCAATAAACAAAATATATCTCTCCAGTTATTCAGGTCTTCCATTTCTTCCATCAGCGTTTTATAGTTCACCATATAGAATTTGTATATATTATGTAAGATTTCTATCCAAAAGATTTCATATTTTTCACACTATTTTAAATAGTGTTGTATTTTAAAATGTAATTTCCAAGTAGTTATTGTTAGTATATAGAATTATGAAGTATTAATGTTAACTTTGTATCCTGTGATCTTGCTAAATGTACTTATTAGATCTAATAACTTTTTTGAAGATTCTTTGGGATTTTCTACATAGACAGTAATTTCGTTCTTTTTTTTCGCTGAGGATTTTTGCAACTTCTTTCCATGCCTCCCCAGTCAGTGTGACAGCCATGCTCTGCTCAGACTTCATCTTGTTGCATCATGGTCAGGCTATTGTTCCCAGCAGAATCCTGGGGTAATCATGGGGTTCACCTCCTGAATTTCCTTCTGTCTATCATGCCTGAAATAGTTGCTATACATATTTTATCCTGTTTTGCAACTGCTTATGGTAGAGGGGCTAGTCAGTTACCAGTTACTCTGTGGACAGAAGCAAAAGTCCTACCTTAATATTAAAGAGAAATGATTGACCCTTCTGCTTTCATCTTGCTTGGGTCATAGACATAATGGCTCAAAGAACAAGTAATAGTTTTGTGACATGAGGACAAAAGGTATATACTAAGGCTGACACAGCAGGAAGACAGAATGGGTTGGGTTGTGAAGGCACTGTGAAATGGTTATACTACTAGTCCTAAAATGCAACTAGCCCGCAAGTTGCATGAACAAACTGTTAATTCAAGGTGCTATCTGCTGGGTTTTCTGTTACTTACTATAGGTGGGTACAAAAGTAATGGCAAAAACCTATTAGGTTGCACCAATCTAATAATAAATTCAGTCCTAACTGATATAAAATTAGAGCACAGAAAAAAGGTATATAACAACCTAATTTATGACTTAGATTCAAACATCAATATTAGTAAATCAACTGCAAAAGACTAAATAGAAGAGTACATCATGAGCAAATAGGATTTCTTAATGAATGGAAAGATGGCTCAACAATGGGAAATTTATTAATATAATTCTCAAAAGAAGATAAACACTGTCATTGCTAGGAGTTCAAAGAGTATCCAGTTACCTAATACTCTGGCTGAGAATGCTAGCTGTTCATCAAAATCTCTTCTCTCTCCATATTATGTATCTATTGCCACAATTAGATATGGATTAACATGATATGGAGTAACATATCATGTATTATGTTACATGGGTAACAAACTGCTCCCAAAATGAGGTGGCTTAAACACACCAATTATTATTTCCCATCACTCCATGGGTTGTCTGAATGGTTCTGGGGAAGCTGGCTGGATTTGGCTATCTTGACTGAACTTAGTCATACATCTGTTAGCAGCTGATAGCTCAGCTGTGGAATGTCTCTGTTCCACGTGGTCTCTCATCCTCCAGTAGAGTAGCTAGCCTGAGCCTGTTCTTGTGATGAGACAGAGGAGCAAAAGAACAAACAAGGTGTACAAGACTTCTTGGGGTCTAGGCTCAGCTTAGATCTGCCATTCATTACTTCTGCCATATTCCATTGGCCACAACGAATTGTTTATGACAAACCACCATGGAGACATTTCAAAGTAGGTGGATGAGAACTGATTCAAGGAGTAGAGAAATAGACTTCTCTTGATGGGAGAAATTGCAAAGTCATATTATGGATGCAGCTACAGGGAGAGGTGGAGAATTGGGGCAATTTTTTTGCTCTCTACCACAACTTCTTTCATCGTAATGAAATTATTGCTGGGAGCGGTGACTAAGGTATATAACAACCTAATTTATGACTTAGATTCAAACATCAGTACTGTTTTGAATATGATAACTTTATCAGGTTGTGTGGCTTTTCCAACTTTGTTCTTTTTCAAAATTGTTTTGACTGTTCTAGTTCCTTTGTCA